AAAACAGTTTTTATGTGCACAGGGTTGCGTCGTAAAAAGTACACGTGCAGAAAAATCGATAAATGCCTTGAGCGAGTTCTGATTCGTTGCGTCATCCATGGCCATCTAGCCTTGCGATGTTGGTGTAAGATGATGTGGTGGCCCGTCAGTTCCCGAACGGCGATGAGCTTTGGCCAAAGTTAGTGAGAGCACCTAATACGGATTGGGCAAATCGTTGCACTCGTTGATGGATTGGGGGCCCGTTACTCAAGTAATTATCGTCTCACGCGATTGTCACGTCTTGCGAGAATTTCGGTCTCGCCAAATGTGAATGTGTGGCCGGGTCTCGTCGAATGAGCCGTAACTTGAGAATCGGCATCATTTCGCCGCAGTGCTACCACGTGTTCGGCAATTCCCGTCTTGAGAAACCTGCCAGTTTCTCCGACACACTTGCTTTGTCCGCAATTACGCCGGATCCTGTAGACGACTCCGGATGTTCCTTGTCGTGGCTGTGCGTCTTTCGGTTTCATGAGCTGACGCTATATGGTTGCTTCGGCCTCTGTGCGACTTCAACTCCAAATGGTACGAGAAGGCGGCCGACAGCCTCCGAAACGTTTTTGACGTACAGGATCGCTCGCAAATTCTGGGGTCCGTGCGACTTTTTTGGCCATCTCGTTTGCGCAAACACCACTTGACAAAGTTGCGCGACTAGCCATTTTTCCCGAACACCCGTCGAAGGTATTGTACCTCGGCCAGATAATCATGGCTGACGCAACGAATCAGAACAAACTCAAGGCATTTATCGATTTTTCTGCACGTTTACATTTTACGGTGAAACCCCGTGCACACAAACTGTTTCCGCTACTATTTTGTGAGTATGTACCTGAAGATGAATCCGCGATGGATTTCGAAACGTCAGGCGAATAAACATATTTTCCCAGCGATTGAGTCGTCTTCTACTTTTCCTAGTTAAGAAGGCCGAAACGACACCCTGCCGCTTCAACACAAGGTTGCCGAACAAACCCCGTAGCATTAAAAAGTACGCGAAGCAGCGCAATCGAAAAAGTTCCGTAAACTGTCCGTCCCATAGTCCTTCGAAAACGAGAAACCGACACAGGTAGATATGACACTGCATACATGTTTTCCCCTGATTTCGTAGGGAAAGCGTCCTGGTCATTATCATGTTGTCCTTTGCGCTAGCTAATTTGGAACCCAAGGTATTGCCTGAAAAATAACTGTGGCGTACTTTTCAATATACAACCCTCAACGGCCAGTTCTGAACAATGTACACAAGCCGCGTCCCAGTAAATGTGAAAATCGTTAAAGACACGATGTGGTCACGATATTTTTGATCATTATCATGATTTCCGTTCATGCTATCCGTGATCAGGAGACCTGATTTAACATTTTCTAGCTCCTATAGCAAAAAGGCGTTACCCAGGTGCGCCTTTCTCGCGGTTGTTCGAAGTTTGATGAAACTGGACCGTCAGTATACAGGAAGATTACCTCATACTTACCGATATGTGTTTCTGTTCTGTTTAAAGCTATATGTCCATGTTCAATATACGTGAATACGCCTCCCTGCGCCTTTCTCTGCAAATTTAAATAGATGGTGGCCGTCCATTAGTTAAGGAAAGCATATTTTGTTTAAAAGTTGTATCTGGATATAGATCAGGCCGTCTAGCTTCGATAAGATGCTCAGCGCATTCATGTGTGTGAAAGTTAACTTGCCGTTTACTGTGGCTATGATTGAGATACGGTTCGTGCCTAACGTTAATATTTTGACTGCGCAGTCATCTCTTACTGATTCATCTAGACGAAAAGTATTGTACACTGCAATACTCAATTGCATTTAATGATCAAATTGCGTTGACAATCACCGAACCTCCGTCTCAGTTGCCAACCAAGTTTTTGACATTTTAGCTGTCTCCTGGTAACAAGTCCCGTAAAAAAGGCATGAAGGGAATGCGCTCGACTTTCTTGCTACTGACCAGCACATCTTTAACATTTGTGGGACGTATTGTTTCAGATGGGTTTTATGGCCGTCTTTTAAGCCGAACGCTATTAGCACTTACATTGCCTCCGTGGTTTTCAACATATTGCCCAGTAGACCTTGCAAGAACATCAGGTATTCCAATGCGAGATCACGGGCCCCGCTGCGAGAAAAGAACCTGTGTAACTAACATTACTGTTTTTATGCCAAAACGACAAAAGGACATGTCCTTGATATCCAGTGACCTCTGAATTTTCCTAAATCATGTAACTCATCCCTCAACAAACTGTATTAATTGGAAACTCTGCATAGTGAAATACGTTCCAAAATTCAAATTAGCAAGGCCAAATATACACTCTAATACTCAAACGTGTCGGTAGCATGCATTACATGCAATAAATGCTGTATGCACAACGATATGTGTGTTAATACATTTTGAACTTCCAAGTCAAGTCACTTTATTCCTCACTAATGAAACATAAAGTCTTTAGTTGGAGAAATCTTCATTTGTTGACTCAAAAACTCGAATTTAGTTGGTTGGCACTAATCAGAGAGAAGCAGAGAGAAATAGCATCACCTATATTGGTTGATTTCGTTTGCACAACGGTAACTGCCTTTTCCGCTTTGCTGGGGACCACCGTGAGTCCTTACAAACTGATGTTGCTTTGACAGATTAAGTGTGTTCATAAGATAGGTTTTCATAATAAATTCATTTTTTTGTTTCTCCTAATTTGGGAGCAAGGAGTTCTAGATGGCTGATTATGTTTATTACAATCGTCAATTTAGAAAATTTCTTTTAAAACCGAAATAGACCCTTTACTTAAGCATAAAATATCAAATGTGTTCATGCATGTTTTCTACAAAATACGTTTAAAATTATAAATTCAGTCAAAATCCATGATAAAAATACATACTATTAACGCAGCCATTTATTTATAGAATCTACATTTCGTAAGCGGTCAGAAAGACACTCATTAAAAAACCGGCATCCTGGCGTGACTCAAGAGATTTGATATTAGACTGCGTGATAATCAGAAATGCAACCCAACCTAGTGATGGCTTGCAGGTGAATAGCAGTCTTTCGCAAATTGCGTAACTTTTCCAGCCGCACTCGCCGTACTGTAGGCTCCAAACAAGACTTGTTTTAGCAGCAGGGAGCGGACAGCGGGAGATGGAAATCTGTGTTGTGGATAGTAGTCAGATTGAACTAAAACGCCAAATGGTCAAAATATTAATTTACACATATTTCAGTGGATGCGCCAGGAAGTCACCGAGAACCCCCTTGAAGCCCAATGTATTTTCGATCGGATGCACACTATGTGGAAGCTCTTCACTATTAACATAAGTGCGATAGAGGAGCTGGCTAAAAGTGACAAGTGGTTGCTCTACAGTGGCATCCTGTTCGGCTCATCTCGACACCATGAAATTATTCCCCGGGATGATTACAATGATTTTATTATGAGCTTTGAGGTTAGAAAGGCACTACAGGAAAAGGTGCATAGGTTGAAACCTGACATACGTTTTCATGAAAGCGCAACGATTGACAAAATTTACGCAAAACAAATTGAAAAATATTTAAGATGGCATAGACAAGAGGAATTGGAATTGTCATTTCCGGTTTACTAGACG